TCCTTCCTTCCTTCCTTCCTTCCTTCCTTCCTTCCTTCCTTCCTTCCTTCCTTCCTTCCTTCCTTCCTTCCTTCCCCTCCTCCTCCATTTCAACAAGTTTCACAGATTAAAAGGCCCATTTAAAATCATTTCACACTCACTCGTAGGGAGCCTAAAATCATGCCTCATAACAAACAGGTGGCCTTCTCTGAGCTGGTCAGAAGATTTTGAGGACCTGTCTTGGCTACTCACATAAAATGGCTGTCACTGGGAGAGGCAGGGAGGAGGGAGGTTGTCCCACCACAAAACGGTTATCCACAGTGGGCCTCACCACTGTTAAATTTCCCGCTCCCTGGAAAGCAAGCCTGGATGCCCAGCCTCTCTCACTGCCCCTGGTGCTGCCTACCAGCCCAATTATAGGCAGACAGGGCACCCTTCCACCAGCCACTCAGTTCCAGCAACTTTGCCAGGGTCCACGCAAGGGCTGAAGGCATCCTCGGAAACAAATAGGCTACTAGAAGATCAGTAGGAAACAGCCCCTGGCTTGCCTTCTTTAGGCTTAGACACTGAGCCTGGATAGTACTTGGATGGGAGACCACCAGGAGATCCCAGGGCCCTAGGCTGCACTGGGAAGTGGAAAACATTCCAGAGGGTAGCAATGGCAAACCGTTCCCATATTGTTGCCCAGAAAACTGCATGGACTATGAAGTCACCAGGCGTGAAGGTCAGTTCAAAGGAAACTCCTTTAGGCCTTCATTTATGAACGCCTAATGCACATTTAGTTACGTTCTTTGGGGCTTGGAAGCTCAGCAAGGTTAGGCCTGGATGGGAGACCAGCAGGAGATCCCAGGGCTATAGGCTAGACAGGGAAGTCGAAAAACCATCCCCCAAAAAGGGATAGCAAACCACTTCTTATTGTTGGGGAATTCTGGGAGTTGAAGTCTATACATTTTATAGTTAATTGGCTTGCCTTTTTTCCTTGTTTGCAGATGAATTTGCCGTGGCTGCGTACAGCGCCCCTTTCCCTACAGGTGGGTCCGGACAGGGCTCTTTCTTGACTCAGCCCTGCCCTTAACATCTCTTTATGCCCTTAATCCAGTGTTGTCCAAACTTGGCCACTTTAAGATGAGTGGACTTCAACTCCCAGAATTCCCCAGCCAGCATGGCT